GAGAGGGCAGAGAGGGGAGAGGAACTAATGCAGTAGTACCATCAGAAATACATCTCAAATCAGCCACACACGGTGGCTCATGCCTGTAATCCCAGCACACTGGGAGGATGAAGTAGGTGGATCACAAGGTCAGGAGTTTGAGACCAGCCTGACCAACATGGTAAAACCCCGACTCTACTAAAAAAAAAAAAAAAAAAAAAAAAAAATTAGCTGGGCATGGTATCACATGCCTGTAATCCCAGCTACTCAGGAGCTGAGGCAGGAGAATCACTTAAACCAGGGAAGTGGAGGTTGCAGTGAGCCAAGGTCATGCCATTGCACTCCAGTCTGGGCAACAGAGCGGGACTCCATTTCTAGAGAAGAAAATCACAGGCCAGGCACAGTGGCTCATGCCTGTAATCCCAGCACTTTGGGAGGCCGAGGCGGGCAGATCGGGAGGTCAAGAGATCAAGAGCATCCTGGCCAACATGGTGGAACCCCGTCTCTACTAAAAAATACAAAAATTAGCTGGGTATGGTGGCACGCGCCTATAGTCCCAGCTGCTCGGGAGGCTGAGGCAGGAGAATTGTTTGAACCCAGGAGGCAGTGGTCACAGTGAGCCAAGATGGTGCCACTGCACTCCAGCCTGGCACCTGGCAAAAGAGTAAGACTCTGTCTCAAAAAAAGAAAAGAATATCACAATATCGTGTCTGAGTCAAATATCCTACTTGGAACCTTCAAATCTTGTCTTTATTTTTTCTTTCTTGGTTTTTTTGAGACGGAGTCTCGCTCTGTCTCCCAGGCTGGAGTGCAGTGGGTGATCTCAGCTCACTGCAGCCTCTGCCTCCCAACCCCAAAAAACTGAATCCCTAAATCACTACCAGTATAAATCAATGTAAATGACAGAAGTATAGTGTGTGCTAGGATAAAGAAAAACAGGTGAAGATGTTATTCTACATAAGCTGGAGAGCAACATTTCATAAAAAATCAGAAAACGTACGCTTAACCAAGGCCGGGCATGGTGGCTCATGCCTATTATCCCAGCACTCTGGGAGGCCAAGGTGGGTGGATCATGAGGTCAGGAGGTTGAGACCATCCTGGCTAACACGGTGAAACTCTGTCTCTACTAAAATTACAAAAAATTAACTGGGCATGGTGGCACGCGCTTGTAGCCCCAGCTACTCGGAAGGCTGAGGCAGGGGAATCACTTGAAGCTGGAAGATAGAGGTTGCAGTGAGCCAAGATCATGCCACTGCATTCCAGCCTGGGCGACAGAGTGAGACTCGGTCAAAAAAAAAAGAAGAAAGAAAGAAAAGAAAG